ACTATCTAGTTTAAATCTCAAAATCAAAGGTCAAGCATTAGCATTTAGAGCAGAAATCCTAGTAACAACCACTGTAGTAGCCATAGCAGGATATAACAAACAAATAACTATTTATACAGACTCATAGCTTTTGATAAATAATATAGAAAAATCACTTAAAAAGATCAAATACATAAAATAGAAGAAATATAACTTATATTCAATATAAATGAAATCTTAAAGCAGCTTCTTCAATACGTTTTATGATAAAAAATATTCAGTAAGGATAAAAATCCCATATATATACAAGCATACTCACTGGCATGGGAAGTACTCAAAAAACATATAACAGAATAACCAACAATACTTACAGCACATATATTTAACCAAAAACTGCTAAATTTCTACTTTAACAAGAAAATTGAAATACTGAAAACAATATGAAAGACAATCAAAACAATTTAGCAAGCCACACACAGCTTCAACTGAATTAATCTAGAACAAAATCAAATAATAGTTTTATAAATAAAAAAAATAAATTAGAAGTTAAGTCTTAGAAATATCTACCCTACAATGATAACTTTAGATTATACTAATTGGTGGGATCATGCTCAATGAACATTTGCAAAAAACTATAAAACTAGAAACTTCTTACAATGTATAAGATAATAAAAAATTACTTGACTTATTAAAAATAGGCAATGTTCCAGCTGCTCTAGTGATGAAGACAATGATCACCCTTTTATCTATAAATACTATGGCATAAATATATATAAAGAAATTAATAACTGTATTATCAAAGAGATAAACAACTAAAGATAAAATAATGACTATCAAAAAAATATCAAGTATGAAGTATATGTGAATATGCAATACTTAAAAGTATTAATTTTTAGAGGAGGGATCAATAGGACACTTAATAATCACATTATAAATATCATTTAATAAGATAAACTGATAAATATAATCAAATCAATAATCAAATATATCAAATTTACTCAAGGTATAATTACAAAACCAAGAATCAAAAATAGAAACGTAATAAATATATAATATCAAAAGGAGACAATATAAAAAAGCAACATGAAATTCAAAATAATACATTGAATAAGATTATTTTGAGAACACAAAATCTTTTTCATATCTTAATAGAAGGTATTAACAAAATCTAGGCACATTAGTTTTTTATAAAGAAGCAATATGCCATAAGGGGTTTCATCAACCAATTGGCTTTTTAGTAATATGTAATAGAGAGTATAGAGAAAATGAGTCTGTAAAATCACTGCTGAATTAAGTAATATATTTTGATACTATACTAATAAAGTAGACCTGTTTCACCTTTAAAAAATATCTATTGGAATTTTAAATAAATAAATATTGATTCTATTATCAAGTTTTACTATTTGAACTACAATAAATTAAATAGTTTAGAAATTTTCAAAAATAATAAGATTATTAATTGGTCATTGTCATTCAAACAGTATCTTTTGTGAAAATCATATAAATGATATTTGGATTACACATTTTTGCAAAATAATTTTGGGGAAAAAAAGAAACTCAACAATCTTATAAGATTTAAAAAATTATGGTTTTATCTTAACTGAAAAAAGTTATTTAGAACCATTCCAACAATTAAAATTTTATGAAATAATTTTGAATACAGTAACTAATATAGTAATAGTACCAGACTTAAAGATATACATTATTGTGCAATATCTACAAAATCTCGTATCTGTTTTACAAATAACACTTATCAGTTGTCTTCAGTTATAGAAAAAGTAATGAGTTTATATTCTACCCTGGTTCAAGTAAAGGTCTGATATTTAGAATTCTACTCTATAAGAGATATAAAATGATTAATAAAAAATTTAAAAGCAAAGAATAAATAATAAGCATGGAGATTATCATAAATAATTTCAATATTTATGAATGTCTCAACAATAGAATGGTTAGCAATATTAGAAAACAAATAGATATTTGGAACCTAGAAATACAAGCACTAATATCTAGATATTGTATACCTCAAGGCAACTATAACTCTTCTTGGTCTGGAATTATTTTTACAAGAAATAAGAAAAAGATGGATTATAATTTTTATTGACAATCAAGTAGCTCAGAAAACAATGAAGTCAGGGAAAGTAATCATGGTAAAAGAAAATAATACATAAACTTTGGAATTTTTGTGGTCAACACAATATAGAAATCCACAAGTTTCTGTAAGTACCTTCAAAATTGAATCCAGCAAATGAATTAATAAGGATATTTGATGAATTCAATTGACCACTTGCCCAAAAATTATATGAAATATTAGATAAGTATTGAGGTCCAGTTACAATAAACAGGATAGAAAACTATCAAACAAGAAAAGTAATCTGTTTCAACAGTCATTTCTATTGCTCCGAATCAAAGTCAATAGATTGTTTTACACAAAATTTTGCTTATGAAAACAATTATATCTACCTTTCACTAAGTTTAATTCATAGAGTACTCGAACATATTATACAGTACCACAGAAATAATTTCAATCATTACAGTTTGGGTATCAGTCCTATGGTGACCTATTTTCCTAAGATATACAATCGAGTTAATAAAGCCGTTTTCTACAATTAAAAGTTTTATACCATGCCAAGAAGAGAATATTCTCCCAGAACTTTGAAAAAATCATAAGTATAAATTCAGGGCTGTGAGAATTCGTTTCTAAATTTGCTTTTGTCAAAAGCACAAACAATTCAATTATCAAAATTAATATACTATATGAGAAGTGTATTTGTAGGCTATATTAATAATTTGATGTACTATACCTTTGTATAGGCCATCAGTGAGGTGATATATTATACTCTTGCATGGATTATCAATGGTGTGATATATTATATCTTTGCATGGACTATCATTACATCTTTATATAAGTTATATAACATACAAATATGTTAGACCTTGTATAAATCTAGTAATAGTTAAAGGTGAAAAGGTCTTCCATTATGAATAATTGCTTGAGGTTTAATAAGGGGATAGTATTTAGGATATGTGTAAGGGAAGTGACAATTAAGTATACGGATGCGCTACTTCTTTATATAGGTATCTTCGATGCTCTATCTATTTTTCACTGATTATATTCATTATCATATACAGTGGGACTTAATCAAGTATTATATAATCATATATATAACTATTTAAAGGAAATACAAATAATATATAAGAATGATATAAGAAAGTGACATTGACATAACATAGGGATAGTATGGTGAGACATTTCTTCTCATATCATTATTTTATATATGTACAAATAAAAAGTAGACGATTTCTTTGATTTATTAGAAAAAGAAAAGATTAGTAATATAAAGAGAGAGAGAAATAGGGGACAAAAGTTTCAATGTGATCACCTATCCAGGAGGCACACTCGGTTTCCCATAATACTGCATCTACGTCCCATGGGCGGAAAAGCGAACAGGGCTTGATTCGAGAAATGATTTTATCCAAAAAGAAAAACACGTGACTTAAATTTCAGACCAAATAATGAGACTTCAATAACCCCGTCTATTCTAACCATGTCCCAGTTGACACCAGATAATGGAGATATTATTAGTCTATATAAAAATGCATGTGATGCGGAAGTAGGTGCTATCAAAGCTAATCAAGAAGAAACATTACGTTGGTGTTTCTATGCTAGAAAATTCAAAAGCATGTATAAAGATTTTATGGTCAACAATAAAGTCGGAGAAAAGAAGGCAAAAAGTCAGGTATATGACTTTATTGTCAAGCAGCTACCGGACACCAAACGCAAAACTTTATGTAAGCAGACACAAAAAGCTTTAAGGATTGACAATTTATTCGAAAGAATAGGAATGGAAAGGATTCAATACATCAAAACATATACGTAGTGCGGATACAATTTCAAGATACAATTTCAAAATTTACTAATACACCAATTCAAACGATTATAGATCACTTCGCCAAAAAGCCTGATATAGAATTCACCGATGAACAGAATAATTCTTCAGATGTTTTATCCGAAACTGAGGTAAGTATACCTATCGAATCGATTCTTTTAGATTCACCCCCAAAAAACAATAAAGATTCGGAATTACTAGAAGTTGAGATAAGTGCGTCATCTTCAGATATCAAGAAAACTTTACCGGAATTTGAGATAAGCAATACATCTACTCTTTCTAATTTAGAAACGATTCCAGAGGAATCAACCGAGATACAGGCAAGTGTGTTTTATGAGGACGTTAATTATAAGAATTTCTCTGATGATGGGTTCTGTGGATTTTCTGGCGATGATGACGAAGGTTATTATTATGATTTAAACACCGGTGAAACCTATACAAAATCGGAATATCGTTATTCAATCCGCGCATATTAATAATGATTAAGATTCAATATAGATGCGATGAAGATGCGACGTATACAGGATAGATTTTTTTCTTACATAATTCTATGAAAAATAATACATCAGTGGTCTGTGATGTGGACCGACGATCAATGAGAGAAGAAACAAAAGTACCGAGTATCATAGCATTCCCGGCAGTAGGGTGGATTTTTGGAATAGTATTGCAAATACTGTACAATAAACGAACGATGTAACCTCCTATACAAAGATATCAATGTAAGAGTAGATTTCAAAATCTTGTAAGGAAAATTTTTGCATCGATTTTTAAATGTGTCAAAGACACCGAGTTTCTCTCAAATTTCCAGAAATTCGCTATTACTGCAGGTGAAAATAATCATAACTCTATTATTTATGCTCGATTGGCTTTGATAGCTTCTTTTCTCAGAAGTAAATAAAAATTTTTTATATAGAATTATGCTTGGCAGAATGTCTTGAATTTTCCGTTAGTCTTCACGTCTACCACATTGACATCGCTTGATGCTTAAAACTTGTCCATATCGGGGGGCTTTGTTATATCAGAAAAATATAAAGTACGTATAACGGATAACGCATAATGTGACGCAACAATCCTGTAATACACATGATAAGTGTCAATCATGATGTTGTGCCCCGTAACATTTTTTCAAAAACGATGCCACCAAAACCGAAAAAGCCTCGGAAAAAAAAGGTTGCGGGTAAAGTACATGTATTTTCGAGCATTGTTTGTGAAGAAACAATTCATTATATTTAGTGAAGAATATCTTCCGTAGAGGTCGTTTCACCTACTGTTGCTGGTACATCTGGCACATCTGGTACAACTGCAAAAGACAAAGGTGTCGAAATATTTGAAAATGCTCCTCCCCTACGAACGGAGCTATCTAGTGGTAGGTAAATTTATTATAAATATTTTTTGTAGAGGAGTCACTCAATACCTTTGCGAAAAAATAGTTCTCGAGGATTTTCACCTAGGTTCTTCGTCAACCCCTTCTAAAATCTGGGTCAAGTATGGCGATAGCAGACCAGTTAGACTTACTTTCGACGGAGAGATTGTAGACGATTTGATAAGAGTGATTAAAAAGGAACTGCCAAATGAGTTGGCCGACGTTGATGTCAACCGCATCACTTTAAGAAGACACGGTGAAGAAGAAGACTTGCGCCCTGGTCTACCAGTGGATAAAAGTTTTGAAAATAATGATGACACACCTCTACAAGTCATTGGTATGTATCGGGAAAGAGGCGATGGTTAACATGTTAAAATAGTTATATCTTTTTGCGATATTAACTTTGGCTTTTACTACAGTAACATTAAAACGTAAACATGAAGAATCACCAGAAGTTTTAAGCGAGATCGTAAAAAGTGCAGTGCGGGAAGAATTCTCCCGGCAAAAGCCTGCTAATCAGATCCGAGTATCCAATCTTTCTGAAACAAAAATGGATGAAATCATGAATAACCTTGGAGTAAAGACCGCCGAAGTAAGTAACCTCTTTTAATGATTTCTTCAATACTTATTATTAATCACTTATTGAATTATTTAGTTAATAGATGAAGACTTCCAATCACTTAGTCCCGTGTCATGCCAACCTTTTATATGGGATATGGAGAGGGAGGAAGCTCAGCAGATGCGCAATGTTGAGATATGGTTTAAGAATACGCTAGATCTACCGAGAGGGTTTCATGTGAAGGATATCCATACGCAGGCGAACTATCAACGACCCTTGCAAGGAGCAAACGTCGTTTTAACGGGTGGTTCTGATATATCTATTGGACCAAGTGGGACAGCTTGCGTCTGGATAGAAGCTAAGAAAACAAAGGATGACTTCAAAGAAGGTCAAGCTATAGGAGAGTTATTATTATTAGATAATCTCCACTCTATAAGTTCAATGGTTGTCTTGACGGATTGTAATGCCCATTGGATTATTTTCTTTTTCATAAAAGTGGATGATGAACAAAGCATGGCAATATGTAGAACTCATAATCCTGGCATTGCCTTGGCGATAATTAAACAGTTCGTACAAGAAGAAGGAAAAAAGTTTCACAGTTGGATAGGAAAGGCTGTCGACTACGGTGTAGACCTACCCACACCTCTTCAGAAGAAAACGAAATTTACCGAACACATTCCTGGGGCAGATTATGAAAACAGGATGGCAGATATGGTTGGCGACATGTCTGAACAGGAGTTGTTCAATATGACTGCTCGCAAGAGGTTAAGGATGTTAAGAAATTGGTGTAAATTAGACGAACAACCACAAGTAGATCAACTTATTAGACAGTTTAGTGATGATTATGAAAATCCACCACCGATGATGTTCGTATAGCGCAAATATTTGTTATAAACATTAACAGTTGATATAAAGTGTTTTTGTCACGCAAAGTTACATCTTTTATTGATTTATTCTGTTTTTTTTTGCATTTGTAATGCCTTTCTAGCTTCAATGTTAATAAAAAAAAAAAATAATAATAAAGTTATACTAAATCCCGCGTGATCTGCTTGACAATACATATATTTTTCAAATGTGGAGTAATTCGTTAATTTGTCAATCATATTTTTCACTAATCGTATGGTTAATCGAGGATGGGTATAAGGGATAGATTCTTTGATCTCTATTGTTACCATTCCACAATTATGTATTAATGATATTTTTTTTCCTAGCTTTTCCTTTATAGGGCCCATATATTATTGCAAAATTCCGAATTCGATTTTTGGACCGCGGTTATTGCTACAAACATATAAAAATAAGACGAGTTTCACTGATTGGTTCTCTCATCCGCTTCGTGCAAGTGAAAAAAGAAATAGAACGAAATAAATCTAACCAAACATACCTTTACATCATCAATCCAAACCGCTGAACGAGATAAATCTGTAAATTTCAGGCATACGGATATGCATATTATATGTTATGACCAGATTCCAAAAGAACTTCATCACATTGCTAATTGGATGAAGTAAAAAGATATTTATAATGCAATTGAGCTGGAAAACATACGAATGTTTATTGTTCTACATACCCCCAACGATATCCACCAGCATGGCCTTTACGTCTTTTGCAAACTTTTCCAATATATGATCCATCAATTCCAGTTATACGTTGTGAGATATGGATAGAAATTCTTGAGTAGAGTCATCATCGAAAATCTGTTTGACGGCACGTCGACGACTGTTGACCCAAAGGCCGAGGTGTACAGCATGCTGGGAGTTCTCTTTCGGGGTACGCCATTCGAGACTGGATGCATTATTGTTAGTAGAGTCACCATCAATATGATTTACGTATTCTTTGCCTTCTTATTTTAGACAAAATGCTAATGCTACCAACCGATGAATACGATATTTTTCAACTCGGAGATATCCTGAGTGCAATGATCCCCGAGAGATTAAACCATTGCGCAACTGAACTCTTCCAAGAGATGAAACATTAAATTTTCGTGAATCAACTTCTATTTCTTTCCACTCTTCATTAGGATCTTGTTCTATATAATCCTCATAATACATCCAACACCAACCACCGCAATATTTCGCTTTCTACTACAACACTCCGAAATATGAGGTCTTGAAATTTTAAGTGCATAACCTGCAAGAGCGATGGAATCCCAAATTTGAATGACATTTCCATCCAAAGTTTTCTGAACAATTTTCCTGGATCTGCCACGACCACGGTTTGGAAATACCTTACGTTCAGCATTCTCTTTAGGAGTTACCCATTCCAAATTATCGGCTCGATTATCATCTTTGATGCCATTTATGTGATTAACATAGGGCTTGTTTTCTGAATTAGAAATGAATGCTTGAGCGACTAAAATATGAACACTAGTAGTATATTTGTGGATACCGTTAATATTTATTTTAATTCGTACATAGCCACTCCTTTTGCAAATATTTGGTATTAAAATCACAACTTTTTTGTTCTTGATGCGTCCGATATTGAAAACTAGTAAGTTTTCTACAGGTAACAATATTCCATTATGATTTTATTTATTGTAAATCCATTTTATTAATTTTAGCAAGGCTAAAGTCTTCCCTATGATCGCTATCAATTTTAATACGATAAGCGACTACCACTGGGATGAACACGATGATCCAAATACCTTATGTTGCTTGGTTGCATTAGGTGATTTTGATGGGGGTGAACTGTGCTTCCCACAACTCCAGATCGTCGTTCCACTTCGTCCCGGACAAATCGTTTCGTTTTCATCGCGTTTTTTATTGCACGGTAATTTTCCAGTAACCCGAGGGATCCGACACAGCATCGTTTACTTTATAAATGGAACATTTTTCAACCATCAATGCCATCCAACTCCTATTCATAGTGATTTTGCGACTTCTGATCAAGACTTGTATAACGCTCAAGATTTAAACTTCCGGTTCCGACTCACCAAACCAAAAATAAGCCAAACTATGATACCTGATAAAGCTAGTGATAAAAGGCGAGGAAGAATCGGTAAGTAATTGTGTTGCCAAATTGGTCGGATTATTATCATGTATTCTAGATATTAATTATTAATATTTTATTCTTAGATTTGAGACGTGCCCGACGTGGGTTGAAGGTCGAGGATCCATTGCCTGACGGGGTGTAATTTAATATTTATATATCATTCTTTCAGAATAAATTTAGCGGTTTTAAATGTTTCATCGCTGGTTATATTATAAATGATGTATGTTGTTTATTTAGTGGACTGATATAGCTAAGAAAAATATATCACGATAATCATGGTTAAATAAAGATTCTAATTTATATACAGTATATATCAATTACTATACGGGTACAGTATATCTTGAATCTACTATGACTGAATTATGCTATTATAAAATCTAATCCGTACTAAAATTGAATCATATTATTCTAGAGTATAAAGTTATTAAATCAAATAGGTCTAAATATCCTAATCGATAAATATGTCTGGTTTTGATATCGCTACTATTATTGATAAAAAAGAAGCAGAGATTTTTTTCCAAAAATAAATGACATGGGGGTGTCACTCATGCGTCACCCTTACGGCACTTGTGCGTCACCTGTGCGTTACCTGTGATGAGAAAAAATGCAAAACGTGACTTAATCGCAGATCGTCACGCAGTCAAATTCGAAATTATCAAAATTGCCTAGAGCCGTATTAATGTTTCGCGGAACTAACATTAGTTAAATATAATATAATTTAAGATAATGCGTACATAAATATAAA